AAAGTACAGCTAGTTAGTGAAAGTACAGCTGGTTAGTTCACATACAGCTAGTTAGTGAAAGTACAGCTAGTTAGTGAAAGTACAGCTGGTTAGTTAATGTTCAGCTGGTTAGTTAGTTGTTGGTCCTTCATGTTCCCTCGTCTCGTCCTGCAGGTCTGTTTTCGACGCCCCTCCTCGCCGGTCTTCCAGAGAAGGTGCGCTCGTTTCTCGCCCGTCAGGTGCCCTTCCCCTCGCGCCTGGGAGACCCCGCTGAGTTTGCCCACCTGGTGACATCACTGGCTGAGAACCCGATGATTAACGGCGAGGTCATCAGACTGGACGGAGCCATTCGCATGCAGCCTTGAGAGCGTGTGTGTGTGTGTGTGTGAGTGTGTGAGAGTGTGTGTGTGGTGGGGGGGTGGGTGTGTGCAGTACTTTGTGTAGTTTTCTAATGTTATTGGAATTAAACTGATTTGTTTCATTTATTCTGAAAAGTGTTTTGTGCTCAGATTCTTTAAAATCATTAGTCGAACATTTTTTACAACTTAAAACAAGATGGTGAAAAATGTAGAAGCAAAGTTTATGTCTCTTAATCTTCTTTAAATTTGGTTCAGGTGTTGGTTTGACTCTAGAGGTCAGAGGTCACTGACCTGCTTGTTTTTGTCTTTAGAAAGTTTCTTCACATTTTGTTTAACTTTGATGTTTGACTTTATTGTTTAGATGATTAAAATAAATCAGTTTGAAGAATAAGTTGTAAACTTAAACGTTCATCACATCTTCTTTCTGTTTTATTTACTTTCTTTGAAAAAAACTATTTTTTGAAAAAACTATTTTTTGAAGTGAACATGTTTCATCATATTTCTTTACATCTCATCAGTCTCTGTTATTTTTATTCATCTTTCACGGTTTGCTTGGTTTCATGACATCATGCTCAAAGTTGTAGTTTCTCAGCAGAAGTTGTTTCCACAAATTCTTTTGTTTTAATTAGTAAGTTACATTTATTATCTGTTTCATGTCAGATTTTCCTGAAATAATCATTTAATATATTTATCTGATTTTATATATAGTTTCCTTTTGTCGTATTTAGACTTTAATAGATTTATTTTCATTCAAATTTGAATTTTTTTTTGTCCCTGGGGAATTCAACCTGAGACAAAACAGGAAATTGTCTCAAACAAAATGAACGAACAGTTGGTGCCTGTTTTTGTGAATTTCTTTGTTCGGTGACATCGAAGCTGTGATGAGAAAACATCCTGAGTCAGTGTCAGCTGTCAATCATGACGTCTCCGCCTCTTTGAATATCATCGATAACTAATTAAACCAAACATGATGATCAACACTTGAACAACAGAACAGTCGTGTGGAGACGGAAACGGAAATGTGTGTGTGTGTGTATACGTTGATTTGTGATTGTTTCTCAGCTTCATCTTCTTCGACACCAGACTGGAACCTTCCTCAGAATCTTTCCCAGCATCCACAGCGACAGCTCACACCTCAAACTCTCCTGAAAGCTGCGAGAAACTGCAGTCACCTGCAACGTAAACTACAACTGAAAAGCTCAACACATCGTGATGTCATCATGAGGAGGAGGGAGGCGATGGAAGGAGGATTTAATATTTTCCTCATGTCGCAATTAATGATTTAAATACTTTACTGTAACTTCAGGTTAACTGATACTCTGTTACTTTAACTGTTACTCTAACTGCTACTGTAACTGTAGCTTCAGGGTAACTGTAACTTCAAGGTAACTTTAACCTCAAGATAACTTTTACTGTAACTGTAACTTCAAGGTAACTTTAACCTCAAGATAACTTTTACTGTAACTTCAGAGTAACTGTAACTTCAGAGTAACTGTAACTTCAAGGTAACTTTTACTGTAACTGTAACTTCAAGGTAACT